CTTTGGCAAGTACAAAAGTATGACCATTAAAATCCCCAAAATATACAATGTTGATGTTGATTTATTACTGTGAATAAACATCTGTAAATTGAAGCATTTTGGATGACTATGTTCCATTATTTGATATATCAGTTTTGTTATTAGTGTAACTGATCATCCAATGAATTCAGTGTAATCGCTTGCCTAATTTTTGGCCGGTCATGGCTTTAGTGAGCAGTTGAAAAACGCAGTGAAATGCGCCTTTCCTGCTAACTGTGGTCAAACAACCTTATCAAGTGGCACAATGAACAGCAAAAAGTTTTTAAAAGGCTTTTGTTTTTTTGGTCATACAGTTAACAATCAGACATAGACTATAATTAACTATGTAAAAAAAACATTACTTTTAACTCTTAACTTTTAATTCACTTTTAACAAAACAGTTTGTTCTGGCTTTTTGTTTTGGCCACAGGCTGTCTTAAATGCATTTCATTTCACCCCAAATGTTCTTCATTATTTTGGTTTATTTTGTAATGACCAACAAAACATGCATTAAAATTAAAATACACATGATCCCAAATTAAGTTTGTGGTGAAAAATGATGTCCCACCCCCTTTCTGACCCACATGCCTTTTCCTATCTCATTTAGATACGACATCCTTAATGACGTCTTTTAATTAACAAATTTAACAGAGCAAAACAAGTCAAGTCATTCATTCATTGTGCTTCAGCTTTGTCCCATATCAGGGGTCAGCAAAGTGGGATAAACCGTCAAATATTTCTGCATATGTATTACACAGCGCATGCCCTTCCAGCTGCAACCCAGTACTGGGAAACACTCAAATGTTACAAATGAAAAACAATATTATGAGAAAGTAAATGTCATGAGTGTTAGCTGGAGTACCCATCAAACTCACTAGAGGGCACTCCAGCCATATGTAAACTCCACCAGCCATTCATTCCAACTACACATCCCATCATGCTTTGTGCTAATCAACCACCTACAGCTGTTATCAATCCAGACACTGATTACAATAACAATAGCATGTCATAGTTTGGCAACATTTTTAAGATGACAAAATGTTGTCTTATGGATGCTTGAAATGGGGTCTTCAAATGAGAGGTTGCTATCAAATATCACACGACACAACTACACATCCTGTCATGCTTTGTGCTAATCAACCACCTACAGCTGTTATCAATCCATGACATTAACTACAATAAAAGCAAATATGATGTGCTTTAAGGTGCAGTCTGTCACACTGTTATCGTAATGTGACGTGGGAGGCTGACAACAGAGGTGCTGATCCAAATGCAGGGTTTATTAGCAGGATGGCCTGGCAAGGAATGATCAACAAGGTATGCAAGGTAAGAGAAAGATGTACCCGCTAAAATATTTTGATATTCTAGGAATAGCCAGTTGTCCAGAATGAAGTGGGAGTAGTGGACGTGAGGGGCAGTAATACAACGGGAGCTCAGCTAAGTCATTCAGATTCTTAGTTCTAGAAAGCACTCCAGCAGCTGCATTTTGAACCAGCTGCAGTTTGTTGATTAGACCTACAGGGCAACCACCTAGTAATGCATTATAGTCTAACTGAGAGATCAAAGTCGTGAATATGCTTTTGTGCATTAGCAAGTCATAGTTTGGCAGCATTTTAAGATGAAAAAAAATGTTTTATAGATGTTTGAAATGACAGCAAAACTTTTGACTGCAACAAAGACTTTTATCTGAACGACAACCAAACATTGACTATTGATCAGATGTACTAGACCCATCATGTTGTCATTATGATTTGAATTTATGATGCAAGCTGAGATTGCATCACTCAGCCATGCAATGTCAGACACAATGCACTCAAATGGAGCTAGTGACTTCACTGTGAGGGGTAGGGTTAGGGCTGGGGTTAAGTGAGCCTATTTAAAAGCACTGGATGCAGCCCAGATTGCACTGCACCAGGTTTGCATCCAGACTCCTCTCTCAGTTAGAGCAAAATAAATCAAAACCTCAATTAAAGTGAAAACACAAAAATAATGAAATATATGTGAAAAATAAAGGTATAAATATTACTTAATATTATATGATTTTTTAAAGTAAAGATGATTTACACCCACCTCTCCCATGTGCAGTCAGCGCAAAAGGGAAGAAACGGGTGCTAAATAGGAAATTAAACTATGAACGTTTTTCCTAACAAATGCTTAAAAGATCAAATGATAAATCAAATGCTCAAATAAATCAAATCCTCAAACCAACATCGCAAATGATGAATCAAATCCTCAAACCATTTTGAGGATTTGATACATCATTTCCGATGTCGGTTTGAGATTTTAATTTATTTGAGCATTTGATTTATCATTTGAGCTTTTAAGCATTTGATTTTTCATTTAAATCTTTTTAGGAAGAAAAACTTCCATAATAATATTTTGTGTAATTATATAGACCTAAAGAAAGTGACATGATTTTCATACCTGTTTTAAGAGCTCAATATTAATGTACATTTATGATTATACACACGTGATTATAATAATAATAATAATAATAATAATAATAATAATAATTAACACAGCCTAAATAAAGCAGAAAATAAGTTGTGATCTCGATATAACTTTTGTTATGTCGAGATCACGAGATAATTAAGTCGTGATCACGAGAAAACAACTTTTTGTTATGTCGAGATCACGAGAAAATTAAGTCGTGATCACGACATAACAAAAAGTTTTCTCGTGAACACGACTTATTTTTTTCTTTTATTTAGGCTGTTTATTATTATTATTATTATTATTATTATTATTATTATTATTATTATTATTATTATGTTGCAAATGTCTGGCTAGAGAGTCTGCACCGGCCCTGTTAACAGGGATAGCCTGCAGACGTGCAAGATAGGCGTTCAAAGCAGCCATATGAGAGCAAACGCTCAAGCTCATGATTATGATTATAAACACGTATGATTATAGCCTATACCTTTATTTACTACTCTCTCTGTTACCATTTTAAAATAACTTTATTTGGCCCAAAATAATTGCTGCATATGAATGCAGTTATGAAAAATGATGAAGATGCTAACTCTTTGAGTTTAGTAAAGTTAGCAAAAGATTCGTAGATTCGTATTTTGAGGATCAAAAATAACTCGACCGAAACATTGTTCCTACACAAATGTAGTGCAGACTCACTGGCCAGATATCAATAATAATAATAATAATAATAATAATAATAATAATAATAATTAATAATACAAATAGGCAAAATAAATAAACAAATAATAAATAAGTCGTGATCTCGACATAACAACTTTTTGTTATGTCGAGATCACAAGATAATTAAGTCGTGAGATTACGACATAACAAAAAGTTGTTTCTCGTGATCACGACTTAATTATCTCGTGATCTCGACATAACAAAGTTGTTATGTCGAGATCACGACTTATTTTCTGCTTTTATTTGGGCTATGTGTTTATTATTATTATTATTATTAATATGTTGCAAATGTCTGGCTAGAGAGTCTACACTGGCCCTGTGAACAGGGCCTGCAGGCGCGCAAATGTGCAACACATTAGGCGTTCAGAGCAGCCATGAGAGCAAACGCTCAAGCTCATGATGTACATTTATGATTATACACACGTATGATTATAGCCTACCATTATTTACAATACTCTCTCTGTTACCATTTTAAAACAACTCTATTTGGCCCAAAAGAATTGCTGCATGAATGAAATTATGAAGAATGATGAAGATGCTAATCTTTCCCTGCTGAAAAATCCAGCTAAAACCAGCCAACCAGCTTAGGCTGGTTTAAGCTGGATTTTTCAGCAGGGTTGAGTTCAGTAAAGTTAGCAACAGTTTCGCAGATTGTATTTTCCGGATCAATAACTTGACCGAAACAGATTTCCTACACATCGAGATGTAATCACCATTTTTTAATCAGTCTCTTTATTAATCCGGGGTCGCCACGGAACCCCGCAAACATGCCAGTGTGGGCCCATTGTGGGTAAGTGTGGGTTTACTGTGGGACAGTGTGGGCAAGACAATCCCACAGAAAAATACATGTGGGGCCCATGTGGGGTAGCCCATGTGGGGCCCAATGGATTTTGCCCTTTGGGGCCCCAATGTTGGTTTTCTGTGGGCAATCCCACAGTGGGCTTGCCCACAGAAAAACACATGTGGGCCCCATAAGGGTCAGCCTATTTGGGGCCCAATGGATTTTACCCTTTGGGGCCCCAATGTTGGTTTTCTGTGGGCAATCCCACAGTGGGCTTGCCCACAGAAAAACACATGTGGGCCCCATAAGGGTCAGCCTATTTGGGGCCCAATGGATTTTACCCTTTGGGACCCAATGTGGGTTTTCTGTGGGCAATCCCACAGTGGGCTTGCCCACAGAAAAACCCATGTGGGCCCCATATAGGTCAGCCCAAGCAGGGCCCAATGGATTTTCCCTTTGTGGCCCCAACTTGTATTTCGTGGGTAAATTTAAGTAAAATTTTATATTTAGCTTGTATATAAAAATTACAATAAATCATTTTCATTTTGGTCAAAATAGTGTGAAGGACAAAAACTGCGTTGCTGCTGAGAGAAAATCATCCAGAAATTATAGTTTTATATATAATCTTGATCACATATGATCACAGTGTGGACCCTGTAAGTGTGGGTTTACTGTGGGACAGTGTGGGCAGGACAATCCAACAGAAAAACACATGTGGCTCCCATGTGGGGTAGCCAATTGAGCCACCCAAAATATGTTTGTTTATTGTCCACTTTTTTAGAAAATTTTGACACCAAAAGTGTTTTAAAAAAGTGTCCTTAAGTGTGAAAAAAAAAATCATAACTGGAGCAGTTATTTTCTAGGGGAAAGTGTGACACCCTGAATGGTTAGTCACACGTTTATATGTATGTTTTTTCTTTTAAGTATATATAATAAAATCTGCTTCTCTTTGTTAATTTTCTTCATGATTCATCTAAAGCTGTATTTAACGTTAAATATCATGAGTGAAGAGTGGGTGGGACCGGGATGGTTTGTTACAGGGTTGCTATGGTAACGGGGAACCGCAAGAGTGTCATTACAAGAGCGCCTTGATTTTGAACAACAACGCAGCCGTCTCATCTTTTAGGTAGGTAAATCCTATCACAAAATCGATGAAATGTTAAGATAACATGTTACTCAAGTGTGTTTACAAGTTTAGTGAGGTAACGTGTAGTTAAAGAGTTAATAGTAGTGAAGATTGTATCTGTTTGCTGACATTGTATCAAAACGGCAGTTAGCGGCCGGTTGTGTTATATGATAACTGCAAAGTTAACTAAAGGGCTCCACCACGCTGAAATCCTCTGTAAATGCTATGTTTTTGTATTCAAGTTGTTGAAAACGATAATAATATCACTTTTGATAGTATAAATACATTTTTGGTTTAAGACGAGGGTTACAACGACTGTTACAGAATTGTTTACGTTTGGATTACACAGAGCTGTCCCAGAGATGCAGAGCAGATGTATGATACTGTGCTGACACTCCACTAGCCCAGCAACTGCTAGAAGGGCTCTGACCAGATAAAAAGGTCATTAGGAGCATGCTCATCTGCAAAGCATTTAAAGGTAGAGTATGTAATGTTTCTATATTATAACCCTCTGTAACAGGAGTTAAAAAGGAAATCTGAAGGAAAAATTACTAGTCATATACAGTAAGAACAGTAGAAACAGTTAAGTAAGTAACATTTATTTGTCCACAATTTTTTAAAGACTGAAACACTTTTCATTATCCTGGAGTCTTTTTACAACCCCAGGGGCTTTGTAACAGCTACAAATAATAATATAAGTTTTTAACTTTATTTATAATGTTGGTCAATTTGTATAATTTTAAAGAGCCCATATTATGGGTTTTTGAAAATTCCCCTCCATGTAGTGTGTAACACAGCTCTAAGTGAAGTGAAGTATTCAGCTAAGTCTTAAATCTGTAAGAATACAGTGTTTAAAACGGTTGATTCATCTATAAAAGAGTCGACTCATAGTGCTTCAAACGAGTCGCCTTGATACCGAGTCATTAGGTGTTTCGCCATGACGTACGAACGAAACCAAGTTATTCGCGTGCACGCGCAAACCCGGGAGATTTTAAACCTGAGGCCCCGCCCTCTGATGCAGAAACCCAGACACACACACAAACACACACAAACACACGCACACAAAAATGCCAGTCGATTGAAGTCACACTGCAGATGGATAATATATTGAGTCTCTACCCAAAGATGAAACATCAGCATTATAACCAAGCAGTTGGAAGCTACTGGAAACTTCTGGAAGCTACATGCTACAAAGAATACTTCATCTGAGTTTGTTAAAGGAAGGATCAGTAAAGAGTAACTTACTGATGGACGTCAGGATGGGTTTCTTCCTACCTTTCTCAAGTGTAAGTACGTGAGGTTAAAGTTGTTGCCTCGTTGACTCTAGCTTGCAAATGTATTTAGTTGTGATTTGTTACTTGTAACCGAGTGTACTGTATCGGGTTAACTGGCTATATTCTCTTATCGCGTGCAAAGTCACGTTAAAAACGCGACGCGTGCTGCTTTGTTGACGGAGCTCCGTGGTAGAGTTTTGCATTCCCGCGGCTGTCCCCGCGCCAGATTTCTGCGGAGCGGGAATATATTTCCGAATAAATCGCGGGAGCGGTCGGTAACGGGTTTAATTTGGGACGGGCGCGGGCTGTCTAGCAATATCACGGATATTGCTATGCGAATGAGAAAGAGAGAGTGTGCTTGTGTGTGTGTGTTAGTGCGCACACGCGCGTATGAGAGAGAGAGTGAGCGAGAGCGAGCTTTGTGTGCTTGGTGCTGTGTGTGTTTATACAGACATCTTGGCTGTCTGGACTGTATAGCTGGGTGATTTTTGGTTGTGTTCTCCCCCGCTCTAGCGGGATCGGGCGCGGCGGGCAGAAAACGGAGCGGGTTCTCAGGCTAAAACCTGGCGGGTGCGGGCGGAAGCGTTGTCGTCCGGAGGTGTGTGTGTGTTTTTGTGTGTGTGTGGCAGCTAAAATCCACGCCTACACTATCAAGCGTGTATGAACTGTGATTACTCTTTAAATTGCTGATTAGCTATTGGCCATTTCACTCTCTGACTGAAGGCAGTCGACCAATCGCGACAGACTGTCATCGGTCCAATCAGCGCAGATTAGCTCCGCGCTAAGGAGGGGTTTGGGAACAAATGAATCACTGGACGATTCATACAGGAGTCGCTGGGATAATTAGGTAAAAATAAATGCAGATTATAAGACCATGAAAGTGTTTTTTGACCTTGCATGCATATGAGACTATTGTTGGAATACCCTTACAACCAAGATATGACCCTATTTCATGTATAATATGGGCTCTTTAAAACCTGCCAAGCACATCTTTTTAACAGTTTTTAACAGTTTTTAACAGTTTTAACAGTTTAACAGAGTATTAACGATTTAGAAACAGAAACAACCCTTAAAAGAAAATCTAATCTCAGATTCAATAGATGTGATATGCGTTATGTATTAACTACTAGTATACTTGTAAGTGTACTACTTGAAAATTTCAAAATGACATTTTTCATTTGTACGGCAAGTGAACTCCTGAGTAGTATACTTTTATAATACTTGTTGTAAATATTTAGTTTATGTACTCTATTCTTTGCTTAGAACTTGACTATTGCACTTAACCATTACAACTGCACACAGAGTAATAGATACACACACACACACACACACACACACACACTTCCTTGAGGTACAAAGTGAGTACACTTTCAACAAACCATTATAGTTTTATTCTGCTGTATACTGAATATACTCTATACTTTCTTAATTGTAGTTTAAAATGAATATAATAGTATACTTGAATACATTCTTTTGTAAGAGTACATGGACCCTTTTCACAAAAAGGTTATGATGTGTTTAATGGTGATCAGCATCTTAAATCGTTAGTTCTTTTTCATTTTGGATTTTTAAAAAAAATGTATGTACACTTCTAAAGCTATACTTTGTATTTTGTCATCTGTGCGTCAAACTACAAAAAAAAAAAGATTGCTTATGTCAGGTGTTTCTAATGCAGTTCCTATGGGTAGGTTCTCTCCTCTGGTTGCCATTATCAGTCTCACACTATTATTATTATTATTATTATTTTATTTTTACTTTTTTGCTTTTTCTGAAAGTATTGATAACACCATCACTGAGTTTTCCTTTGGTTATTGGAGCAAAATAAAATGCAAACATTTTGTTGCATTCTGCCATAAGTATGATGACTTCTGCTACTAAACAACCCAGAATTGTGAAAAGGGTCCATCGAACCTAAATAACACTGTTTTAAACATTTGTATTTCAATTGTTTTATTTCCCAGACGCTGTAACAAAAATCAGCAAAGGAACAGCTTGCCAAGTAGAAGCAACAATAAAATCATGGTTAAGAAAGTCAAGACACAGAGATGGTGGGCGCCAAGGAAGGGCCAAAACTCAGAAGGGACTTACTTTTAATTACATTTTTTGGAGTTAAAAAATTGCGTTTTTTGTGTGTGTTTATTTATGTTTGATTTTGTATAAAATATAATTCTGTTTCAATATCATACAGTTGTTCATTTTTTGTTATTAAACTCTTTAAATAAATATTTACGAACATGAAACAGTTTATTGTCAAGTAAAACTGTTCTGAAAATGCATTGTATAATGGTTTTCTGTATGTACAAAGTAGAACCAGACTCAGTGGCTCAGACAGGATCATTGCGAGCAGCCCACTGTGGGCCCAATGGTGTGGGCTGACTGTGGGCTATCCCACACTAATCAGAGCGGGTTATCCCACAGTCAGCCCACACTTTTGGGTTGTCTCAAAGTGGGCCCACACATGCCCCACACTTCATGCCACTGTGGGCCCAGATACCGGGGTGAAATGTGGGGCACTAACAACTTTTTGTTATGTCGAGATCACGAGATAAATATATCCTGATCACGACAAAACAAGAAAAAATATTTTTAATGCTTGGCCTCTTAGGACTTCCGTTATTAAATTCCATGAGCAATTTCACAGGAATGTTTGTACTAAATTTATTATAATTTCTAATCGAGTAAAATTTGAATCTATTATTAAAGCCATATTTTCTGGCTACCCTTGCAGCCGCAACTGTTCCCCCCTTTTTCATTGAAGGTGTGATTGCAACTCAAACTCAATTTCACTTAAATTATCTTAAGATACCATTCACATAGAACTGAACATTTAAAGCTTTCTCTGCCTCCAAAAACTAAAGAAGTTTTTATATAAAAATGTTATTTTATTCGTCAAATTATTTACAACTTAACAATGCGCCAGAGTTACTTTAAAATGGAAACAGTTGAGGGAATATGATTTTAAATAGTAATATATAACACATTAATATAATCATGAATTTAGGCTACATTAATCACGAGCCCGTTTGCGCTCAAATCGGGTGTTCTGAACGCCTTTATGTGTTGCACGAATGCGCGTTTGCAGTAAGGCTATTTTCTCCCAGTTTGCAGTGCATATATTCACTGCCTGGCCAGACATTTGGCCAGATATTAATAAAAAATATATATAGCCTAATAATAATAATAATAATACATAAATAAATAAATATAAGCATAAAAAAATTAAGTCGTGATCACGACAAAACAACTTTTTGTTATGTCGAGATCAAGACTAAACAACTTTTTGTTATGTCGAGATCACGAGATATTTAAGTCGTGATCACGCTAAAACAACTTTTTGTTATGTCGAGATCACGAGATAAATAAGTCGTGATCACGACAAAACAAGAAAAATTATTTTAATGCATGGCCTCTTAGGGCTTCCGTAATTAAATTCTATGAGCAATTTCACAGGAATGTTTGTACTAAATATATTATAATTTCTAATCGAGTACAATTTGAATCTATTATTAAAGCCATATTTTCTGGCTACCCCCGCAGCCGCAACTGTTCCTCCCATTTTCATTGAAGGTGTGATTGCAAAGAAGGTTCAAACAAAAAGATTAGAAATTAATTTAACAACATTATCCTCTAGCGGTTTAGAAACTCAATTTCACTTAAATTATCTTAAGATACCATTCACATAGAACTGAACATTTAAAGCTTCCTCTGCCTCCAAAAACTAAAGAAGTTTTTATACAAAAATTTTATTTATTCGTCAAGTTCGTCAAATTATTTACAACTTGAACATTGCGCCAGAGTTACTTTAAAATGGAAACAGTTGAGGGAATATGATTTTAAATAGTAATATATAACACATTAATATAATCATGAATGTAGGCTACATAAATCACGAGCCGTTTGCCCTCAAATCGGGTGTTCTGAACGCCTTTAATGTGTTGCACGAATGCGCGTTTGCAGTAAGGCTATTTTCTCCCTGTTTGCAGTGCATATATTCACTGCCTGGCCAGACATTTGGCCAGATATTAATAAAAAAAATATATATAGCCTAATAATAATAATAATAACAATACATAAATAAATAAATAAATAAATATAAGCAAAAAAATTTAAGTCGTGATCACGACATAACAACTTTTTTGTTATGTCGAGATCACGAGATAATAAGTCGTGATCACGACATATCAACATTTTGTTATGTCGAGATCACGAGATAATTAAGTCGTGATCACGACAAAACAACTTTTTGTTATGTCGAGATCACGAGATAAATAAGTCATGATCACGACAAAACAAGAATAAATATTTGAATGCATGGCCTCTTAGGACTTCCGTAATTAAATTCCATGAGCAATTTCACAGGAATGTTTGTACTAAATATATTATAGTTTCTAATCGAGTACAATTTGAATCTATTATTAAGCCATATTTTCTGGCTACCCTCGCAGCCGCAACTGTTCCTCCCGTTTTCATTGAAGGTGATTGCAAAGAAGGTTCAAACAAAAAGATTAGAAATTAATTTAACAACATTATCCTCTAGTGGTTTAGAAACTCAATTTCACTTAAATTATCTTAAGATACCATTCACATAGAACTGAACATTTAAAGCTTTCTCTGCCTCCAAAAACTAAAGAAGTTTTTATATAAAAATGTTATTTTATTCGTCAAGTTCGTCAAATTATTTACAACTTAACAATGCGCCAGAGTTACTTTAAAATGGAAACAGTTGAGGGAATATGATTGTAAATAGTAATATATAACACATTAATATAATCATGAATGTAGGCTACATTAATCACGAGCCGTTTGCCCTCAAATCGGGTGTTCTGAAGGCCTTTAATGTGTTGCACCAATGCGCGTTTGCAGTTGGCTATTTTCTCCCTGTTTGCAGTGCATATATTCACTGCCTGGCCAGACATTTGGCCAGATATTAATAAAAAATATATATATATAGCCTAATAATAATAATAATAATAATAATAATAATAATAATAATACATAAATAAATATAAGCAAAAAAATTTAAGTCGTGATCACGACATATCAACTTTTTGTTATGTCGAGATCACGACAAAACAACTTTTTGTTATGTCGAGATCACGAGATAAATAAGTCGAGATCACGACAAAACAAGAATAAATATTTGAATGCATGGCCTCTTAGGACTTCCGTAATTAAATTCCATAAGCAATTTCACAGGAATGTTTGTACTAAATATATTATAGTTTCTAATCGAGTACAATTTGAATCTATTATTAAAGCCATATTTTCTGGCTACCCTCGCAGCCGCATATTTTTTTATATAAAAATGTTATTTTATTCGTCAAGTTCGTCAAATTATTTACAACTTGAACATTGCGCCAGAGTTCCTTTAAAATGGAAACAGTTGAGGGAATATGATTTTAAATAGTAATATATAACACATTAATATAATCATGAATGTACATTAATCATGAGCTCGTTTGCCCTCAAATCGGGTGTTCTGAAGGCCTTTAATGTGTTGCACGAATGCGCGTTTGCAGTAAGGCTATTTTCTCCCTGTTTGCAGTGCATATATTCACTGCCTGGCCAGATATTTGGCCAGATATTAATAAAAAAAAGTATATATATATATATAGCCTAATAATAATAATAATAATAATAATAATAATAATAATAATATTAATACATAATTAAATAAATTTAAGCAAAAACATTTTTAAGTCGTAATCACGACATAACAACTTTTTGTTATGTCGAGATCACGACAAAACAACTTTTTGTTATGTCGAGATCACGAGATAAATAAGTCGTGATCACGACAAAACAAGAAAAATTATTTTAATGCATGGCCTCTTAGGACTTCCGTAATTAAATTCTATGAGCAATTTCACAGGAATGTTTGTACTGAATATATTATAATTTCTAATCGAGTACAATTTGAATCTATTATTAAAGCCATTTTCTGGCTACCCTTGCAGCCGCAACTGTTCCCCCCTTTTTCATTGAAGGTGTGATTGCAAAGAAGGTTCAAACAAAAAGATCAGAAATTAATTTAACAACATTATCCTCTAGCGGTTTAGAAACTCAATTGCACTTAAATTATTCTAAGATACCATTCACATAGAACTGAACATTTAAAGCTTTCTCTGCCTCCAAAAACTAAAGAAGTTTTTATATAAAAATGTTATTTTATTCGTCAAGTTCGTCAAATTATTTACAACTTGAACATTGCGCCAGAGTTACTTTAAAATGGAAACAGTTGAGGGAATATGATTGTAAATAGTAATATATAACACATTAATATAATCATGAATGTACATTAATCATGAGCTCGTTTGCGCTCAAATCGGGTGTTCTGAAGGCCTTTAATGTGTTGCACGAATGCGCATTTGCAGTAAGGCTATTTTCTCCCTGTTTGCAGTGCATAGGCTATTCTCTGCCTGGACAGACATTGGCCAGATATTAATAAAAAAAAATATATATAGCCTAATAATAATAATAATAATAATAATAATAATAATACATAAATAAATATAAGGCAAAAAAAAATTATCTCGTGATCACGACAAAACAACTTTTTGTTATGTCGAGATCACGACAAAACAACTTTTTGTTATGTCGAGATCACGACAAAACAACTTTTTGTTATGTCGAGATCACGAGATAATTAAGTGGTGGTCATGACAAAACAAGAAAAAATATTTTAATGCATGGCCTCTTAGGACTTCCGTAATTAAATTCCATGAGCAATTTCACAGGAATGTTTGTACTAAATATGTTATAATTTCTAATCGAGTAAAATTTGAATCTATTATTAAAGCCATATTTTCTGGCTACCCTCGCAGCCGCAACTGTTCCCCCCTTTTTCATTGAAGGTGTGATTGCAAAGAAGATTCAAACAAAAAGATTAGAAATTAATTTAACAACATTATCCTCTAGCGGTTTAGAAACTCAATTTCACTTAAATTATTTTAAGATACCATTCACATAGAACTGAACATTTAAAGCTTCCTCTGCCTCCAAAAACTAAAGAAGTTTTTATATAAAAATGTTATTTATTCGTCAAGTGAATATTTAAGAATTAGATTTGGATTTGAGTCTAATAAATGTTTTGTGATGATATTGAAACAACAGATCATCACTGTATGTTTGTGGATGCGTAATGCCTGGCT